AGAGTCGCGATAGCGTTATTCATCAATTCTCTTTTCAACATACAAATTGCTTTAAAAAATGACACTTCAAAAAAAAAAACTTGTTGGCGAACAATTTTAAAAAACCTTGCCACACAAATTCTTTATTTCTCCTAACGAATACAAAATATTTTTATAAAATAAATAAAGCTTCCAGGGTTAAGTTTCTTGTACAACTTTTTATTTTCAAGCTTTCAGACTTTTCAGTCCTTCAACAGGATTATCACAATAATAAATATGATGATATATGTCATCCCATTTATAGAAAATCCCATGGGTCTAAATTAAAATGAAAAATGTCTAAATTAAAATGAAAAATGTCTTAATTAAAATTGAAAATGTCTAAATTAAAATGAAAAATGTCTAAATATAAATTAAAATTGTCTAATTAAAAGTTAAAAACCTATATACTATTTTTATATACAAATTAATTTTTACATATTTTAATAATTTATGATATTGAAAGGGGGAGAAAATATATTTTACATTCTTTGTGTGTTTTAAACAATTTTTGAAAATATACGTGCATGGGTGGAGGCTACGCGCTGGTCGAATGATATCTCGAGATCTCAAATTAAACCCAATAAATTCGTGAACTATTGTGGTATTTGTTGAAATTTTGAGAAAATAAAACTTTGACTGGCCGAAGTGTCTTTTTTTTTACAAAAATATGAATGACGGCCAAGCAAACCTCTATCTTCAACATACAAATTTCTGTCGAATTCCTCTCTTCTTTAGATTTCGAATATTTAAAGATGAAGAGACAGATGTCCACCATATGATCTACTGGACAGAATTCTGACTGAAGAAGTTCCGCGGAAGGAACCCGAAGCCACAGGATGACCCCCCGCGGGAAGCAACAGGACTCCTCCATTTCCGCTGGTCATCTCAGCCATCTGTCACTCTCAACGTCTTGAGACAATCTGGTGAGAACTTTCCCAACTTGAACAAACGATAGAGAGAATACTTCACGATTTTACGGTTCATTCTTTACGCTGCTCTGTATCATTTCAATTGTAATACACAAGTATCACACGGACCATGCTAATCTTCTCTGTATCGTTCCAATTGTAGTAGTTGTACCGCCGAACTGGTATCACAGGGACCATGCTAATCTTCTCTGTATCCTTCCTATTGTAGTAGTTGTACCACTGAACAAGTATCACAGGGGCCATGCTAATCTTCTCTGTATCCTTTCTATTGTAGTAGTTGTACCACTGAACAAGTATCACAGGGGCCATGCTAATCTTCTCTGTATCCTTCCTATTGTAGTAGTTGTACCGCCGAACTGGTATCACAGGGACCATGCTAATCTTCTCTGTATCGTTCCAATTGTAGTAGTTGTACCGCCGAACTGGTATCACAGGGACCATGCTAATCTTCTCTGTATCGTTCCAATTGTAGTAGTTGTACCACTGAACAAGTATCACAGGGGCCATGCTAATCTTCTCTGTATCCTTTCTATTGTAGTAGTTGTACCACTGAACAAGTATCACAGGGGCCATGCTAATCTTCTCTGTATCCTTCCTATTGTAGTAGTTGTACCGCCGAACTGGTATCACAGGGGCCATGCTAATCTTCTCTGTATCCTTCCTATTGTAGTAGTTGTACCGCCGAACTGGTATCACAGGGGCCATGCTAATATTTTCTGTATCCTTCCTATTGTAGTAGTTGTACCGCCGAACTGGTATCACAGGGACCATGCTAATCTTCTCTGTATCCTTTCTATTGTAGTATTTGTACCGCCGAACAAGTATCACAGGGGCCATGGGTGGGGCCAGTGGTGCTTATCTCCATGGTTAAACCAATTCCTGAAGTCCACTCCTCTCCAATTTTGCCATGGTAGTTATAACCTTGGAAAATAGGTCCTCTATTGTCAGTTCTGAACATGATGTGTTCCGGAGAAGCTTCCGCACTATTGTATTTCAAGTATTACTATATAGTCCTGGGTTATCAGTGGTGGTGGTGGTGCTTATCTCCATGGTTAAACCAATTCCTGAAGTCCACTCCTCTCCAATTTTGCCATGGTAGTTATAACCTTGGAAAATAGGTCCTCTATTGTCAGTTCTGAACATGATATGTTCCGGAGAAGCTTCCGCACTATTGTATTTCAAGTATTACTATATAGTCCTGGGTTATCAGTGGTGGTGGTGCTTATCTCCATGGTTAAACCAATTCCTGAAGTCCACTCTTCTCCAATTTTGTGATGGTAGTTATAGGCCTGGAAAATAGGTCCTCTATTGTCAGTTCTGAACATGATATGTTCCGGAGAAGCTTCCACGCTATTGTATTTAAAGCAGTTGTTGAAGGTTTTTTTTTTTGTCCATTTTAAAATTTAACTACTTGTTACATTAGCTTGCCATCTATTATGATAATTCGAAACTATTATAAACACGTATACCATATATACACGTAATACTCGCTCCTTAATCCTCATTGGCTACAATATCGTCACGCCACAAAGCTCCACAAATTCGATTGA